AATTATACCGAGTGAGAGAAAAAATACTTTAAGAAATTTAAAACCAGACACAAAGCGTAGGCACTGTCACAATGTATATGTTTATGGGACCCAAGGGCAGGAGGGTCCAAACGTTAATGTATTAATATTATGTCCTTTGGCAGTGAGGACAGACGTTCACTTGAATGTCATTTTCACAAACCACAGTTGGGACGTTTTCTTTTGACTTCTCCTTGGTGATTTTTCACCGGGTTGTGCCATAAAAAAGCCATCTATCACCGACTAAAAAAAGCTCATGGCGACCATCCTCAGTCACCACCTTATAATCGCTTTCTATGATATGGTTCCCTTCCAGCACATCGTCCAAATAATTACCTGTGAAAAAAATCGTCAGCATACAGCGGCGCTTTGACATTACTGATCTCGAATTCTAACGCGAAATAACGCATATGAAATTTATCTCCAAGCTGAGGAGAGCGACGCAGACGAAACCTTGAGACCGGAGGCCCCCCGTAGCTAGCTCCGCCCACCGTAACAGACATCGGACAATAGGCTTGCGTGTAATCTCCTTCTGTTATAACTCCTTGGTTCACTGGACAAAGATATTAACAAACTCATAAAGCCGTTTTAATTAAAGGATTTGTTTCAGTCGTTCCCAAACGTCATTTAGCAAAGGATTTCGCAAAGCAGCTTTTACATTAATGAATAAGACATGAAGCAGTAAACCACCACTTGCATGTAAAATGGGAAATCTTGCAAGGCATCAGGATAATTGATTCATCACCATCTGATTATATGAAGCTTTCTATGGACGTTCGTACAGACGTTTATTCATTAAAAAATGATAGACATATATAATGATACTTCAATGTTAACAGGTGAGACTATTCATAAACTACCAATACCCTCCGTTGGCGACAAACGTAAATAAGTACCACATGAATCAACTAAGAATGTCCACTCCCCCTGAATAGGTTGCTACTCTACGGTCACTCCCGATACAATAGAGCAGGACCCTGGGTTAACAGATGTTGGGGAGGGGGTGGGGGTAAATGTCCATCGTGTATAATGATAGATACCACAAAACCATTTCCACTGTCCATTTCCATGCATTCATTTCACCAAGATTCAAGATTCAAGATATTTTATTTCAGGCTCACCCATATGTTAAGAAATACGAAATTAGAAGCAGTAAAACGTGATAATTCAATATAGAACTACTTGTATGAAAGACTCAATATCATTTAAAAATTACGTTTAAGTTTCATTTTTAAAAATCGGCAACAGGTCTTGGCAAATACATGTAAATTTATCATGTCATCATTACGAATCAAAATAAAAACTTGTTCTGATTATTTAAAAGATCAAAATATTGTTTAAACGTCTAGCAATAGCAAAAAGAAGTGGATACACTCAGATTCACATAATGGGCAGTTTTTTTCACAATAGATATTTTTTCATATCGATCGATTTCTATTCGATGTGGGGCCTTCCCACACCTTACTTTAGCAAGTGCCCTTTGTTGTTTAATTGACAAGGATGTTTTTCGGCGTATAACTTCTGAGCTTAATAATTTAAACAATCTGAGTTTGTCGCCACCACCGTTGTCGTCCCATAGCTTTGCAAACCAGTCAGAGCGGCGTTCTGCTGCAGCACACTTTAAATTAGTCAAGTGATTAACTTAATAAGCAGTCAAGTGATATTAGCTCCACGGTCATTACAATTACTTGTCACTCTAGTTATCCAATTTTTATCATAATTAGGTAATTTCAAAATCCATAAAGACTATTTTGGTCTTCTTTTATCCTTGTTTACTAGTATGTACCGTAGGTTTGTTACGTTGGCTAATTGTTTTTTTCTAGTTGTGTGTCCTACCCCATTTTAAAACGGTTGGCAATAGGCGACTCATATCTACCAACACCAAGAAAATACTAACAAGTTCTGTTACCACACCAAGATTTACCACAAGGGACACTCCAGCCATAATTTTATGACGTTTATAGTGACGATACGTGTAATCAAGAGACTACGCATGACTGCTCAAGCACGCTACCTCTCTCTCTCTCTCTTTCACACAGACACACACGCACGCACGCACGCATGCACACACGCGACCATATGTGCACACACTCTCTCACAAACGCACACTCACACACATACACACTCTCCATCTCCCCTCTGTCTCTCTCTCACTCACACTCACACACACACACACACACACATACACACGCATGCACACACATGTACACGCCCTCTCACACGCACGCGCACATACTCACTCTCTATCTCTCAACATGATATATCTAACTGGTCTCAAAGATAACTGTTAGGCAAACCCTGTCAGCTGCATCTACCATAGTCATCTATCTGGCTGCACACAGGCAAAGAAAATAACTGAATAAACAACGACATCAATTATGACATACCTCTAACGCGGTCCACAAGGCTCTACGAACTTTCTCCATGATCTGCTACTATTTTGGACTACAGGTTCTCCGACTAAAAGGGGTCGTGGCAATTTGAAAGTTATCTATTATTCAAGGACCAGAATGAAGTAGTTTAGTTATACTTGATACGGGTTTTGCATGCCTGACACAGGCTACGCAGCAATATTACTGATGAATATTCCAAATAATTTTTCATATACGGGAACGCCATCATGAAGAATATTCATGTACAATGTACACTTGATATAGATGTTTCTGAAAAAATATATAAATTAATAAAATTACAAAATAAATAAGAATAACAAAATCTAAATACTAAATTAAGTGTATTAATTTTAACTTGTGGCTCTTACATGTTTTTATTATGCTTGGTAGAACACTGGTCCATGCACAAGCCAAGTAAATGTAATATTAGTCAGAATGTTTTCATTTATGATAGATCCAGATACTTGATTTACCTGTTGACTGTTTCGTCTGTTCACTCTGACAGACTTGGTCACAACTGAATTACCTGTGCAGGTGAAGGTGAACAGGTAATAACCTGGTAAATATCTGGATCTATCAAATTTTTTAACAAAGGTGTTCTGTTTAAATGAATTTAAATCTCGCCTACTGGTAGGTGAGGGAGGGGGGTGTTGGGCAATAATTTTTATAATCGATCTTATTGCAGCCACGGTTTTTTTCAATGCAGGTGTTCCTGGCCAGTGACCACCCTATGACCTGGCTGTACGCTAAGATGTACTACAACAATGCTGACGCCACCTTCCATCAGGCTGTTACTCACCTGGGTGGGTGAACATTTGAATATTGGCGGTCACACATCGCAATGGCGGATCCAGGTGGTTCTTTGGGCCACTCATTTTAACACCCTCCCCTTAGTTTTGAAGGTGCCCCCTGCTCTCTCCAACCCCCCCCCCCCCCCTGCCAAAAAAAAATCAGAACAAGCTAAAAGAGACAAAACCAAGTAATTTTCCATCCTCGTAGCCTGCATGTAGAAAATTTTGTTTTCCTCCCAATCCCAGACCTCTGGATCCGTCAGTACATCCAAAGCCAAGCACAACTTTACCCACCACGAAAAGTCTCACAAACGTTTAAGCACATTCGAATAAACCTTAATGTAGAAATACGTTTAACTTCTTGAAAGTATATCGGCGGTGATTTGAGAGTCTCAATGCTTGAATTAGGGAACAGCTGTTTAATAACGTTTCTGTAATATAACGTTAAGCTTTTATTTTAAGTCGATTCAATGTGTCAGTTCGATTTGTTTTTTGTCTGAATTTAGGGTTCACGCATCTTTTGATCGAAGGCGTTGCCTTGGCGACCCACAGGAACCTTTCTCCTTCTCACCCGATCTTCAGACTGCTGGCACCACACTTTCTCTATCTTATCGCCATCAACGAGTAAGGAAATTGATTGATTGATTTTGGATTCATAATTTCGCATCACTGAATATGCAGTTTACCTTTATATTCGGAAGTTTGCTCCCTTTCATTTCGTTCTTCTGTATTTTTGACTATTAAAGGATATATTGTTTATGCCAAATGTATAGTATAGTATAGTATAGTATAGTATAGTATAGTATAGTATAGTACATGTATTTCCATTCACAATTGCCATGCCTTCACCTTGGGTCCTACCTCCTCTCACTGTATGTGTCCTATTTTTTTTTTTTTTTTTTTTTTTGCAGTATATAATAAATGCGATTGCTTTGTGACCTAAACAGCGAGTGCTCCTATTATTTTTCAGCCTTGCAGTTAGTTCGTTGGTCAGCGAGAACGGCTGGGTGGATAAAACTATGAGCAGTGGGCGATTGGGCATGTTTGATGTCGTCGCAAAAGCGTAAGTTGCAATATGAGAGAGACAGAGAGAGAGAGAGAGCACAGCTCAGTTCCCTGAAAAAGTCCAGGAGAGATAGGCGCTGGCGAATCAACGTTCATACCACCTTTGCGTCAGTGGTCAGGGCTCCGTAACTCGAAAGCATCGCAAATTGCGACCGAGTGCAAGCGCCTCTATCCCATAACTCAGGATTTACTCGCTCCATATAATAGCCTCGAAATAAAAAGTGATATCGCTATCGCAATTCGCGATGCTTTCGAGTTACGGAGCCCAGTATGTGATTATAATTTTTCATTCTTAAATTTGTTTTAAACAACATCTGGATGTATTTACATAAACAACTGCATTATTATACATGTATACTGTGCACTCATTTTACAGGATTGTGGACTGGCGACTGGACATCGATGGCACTCTGCCGAAACATTTGGAGGCACGAGGAGTAAGTGACGAGGAATTTTTTCCCAACAAGAAAATTGTTTTTCCCGCCGTGTGTTTGTTTGTTCTTTTTTAAATGTATTTATTTGTTTATTTATTTATTCACTGTAGCTAGCCTAACTCAAAAAGTTTGGTTAACTTTTTCTGAGTAAGACAGAAATGGGCTTTAATGTGACAAGATTTACTGGAACCAAGAATTCTTAAAGAATTCTTCACCATTGCAAGATAAGACCAATGACCAGAACCGTGTGCAATGGATGTCCCTCAACTACCACAATATATCAGTTCTCCAAGGGCTTTCCCAGTTGCTAGATTAAATTGAATTGATAAAAAACGTCCACGCCTCAAAGTTTAAGTTCCCTAACACTTTTCATCGGGACTTTAATTTGACTGAACACGACAGATAAGTATTGCCTTAATGGTTTTGAAGTTGAAATTCAGTAGCTTTAATTAATTACTACATGTACCAGTAGGCCATGGGCTTCTGTGTTCCCCAGAACGCACTGTTAGCGTGAAACGCTCCTTTTATTACTTTCACCCTCCTTCAGAATGTTAACAGTGCAGGGCTCCCCGTTTTCATTTACACATTACACTAAACTGTTTTTTTTTTCATTTCTCCATTAATCAAATGTATCGGTAATTTAGCCCACAATATTCAACAATGCAATAGTACATTAAGAATTTGTAGATTACTGTGTTCCTGTCAACCCGATATTCATAACATTTCTTATTCTGTCTGACAGCTACTGGATGAAAATGTGCTTCCAAACTTTTACTACCGCGAGGATGCCCTGCCTTTGTATTGGATTATCAAGAAGTATGTCGGCCAGATCATAAACCATTTCTATGGTAAGTTCCTGACGTGTGTACAACGCATTGTAAAGGAAGGTACAGATATACTTAATACTCAAATCAAACTTTATCTTCTTCTCATCTACTCATCTACTTACCCCCTGTATATGCACGCGCGCACTTTCAAATTCCTTGTGTGGTAGTTCAACTGTCGTGACTGAGATTGCATTCACATAAGTCTTTTATACTCGAGATTTTTTTTTTTTTTTTTTTTTTTTTGTTAAATATGAATTTAGCAAATGATTGTCATTTATTTATTTTGTCTTTTTTAAAATTGCTGTTGTTCAATCACATTCATTTCTCTTTTGTAATCTTAACATCCACTAGTAGCCTGATGGTAATTTAAAACTTCCCATCGATAGCCCCCTGTTTCATATTGTATTCAGATTCACCAGAGAAAATGTTGGAGGATTACGAACTGAAGAGCTGGCGGCAGGAGCTGGAACTGGAGCGAGAGAAAGGAGGAATAGGAATCAAGGTGGGTTGTTGATGAGTGATTAATTGAAATTGATATGTCTTATCACAGTTTAACGTCGCACCAACCAAGTAATATACACTGAGCTAAGAGTAGAAAGCACTCCAAGAGCGCAGACCTTTACCAAGGAAAAAAAAGGAAAACGGGATGATTTACTTGAAATTAATATGCTGCTTTTCTCTCCTGAATAACTGTCTGGAAATTTCCGTCGAAATTTAAAAACATATCTTGACCACAAACAAACAGACTAACCAACATCGTACCCACGACGAAAGATTGTGAATGCTTTTGGACATCACTCATCGCCTTGATCACTCTGGAGAGTGCTGCTGATGGCGTTATTTTATTTTCCAGAATTTCAAATACGTCATCAACATCATCTGGTATCGTTTTTATTTTAGGGGATACCTGGAAGTGGGACATTCAGCAGTAATGAAGAACTGATAGTGACCTGTACTTCTGTCGTTTTCTTGGCTAGTGTGGGACATGCCGCAGCTAACTTCCCACAGTATGCAGAGTACGCATTTCCGCCCAACTACCCGCCATTCATCAAGGGCCAAGTGCCAACAAATAAGGTACCTTTAACGCTTCTTAGTGATTCATGCTTTCAATGTAGATTAAGATATTAATGCTTGATCACTTAGGTCGAACAAGGGCCTCTTCTTCAGTTCTGTAACAGTGATCCAATGTATCAGAGGGCAAGAAAACATGTTTTCACAATCAGTTTCAGCTTGCGTTAACATACATATAGTTGTAACAAATAATTTACAGTTGTTATTATCAGGTTTGAACTGAAGACGAAACACTTTGTCGCAAATCAAGTACATTTGCTGTGTTGATGACGAGATTATTGGTGCACATCTATGGATCCACTTTCTTTTTTTTTTTTCTCAGAACCCTCTGTCGGAAGAAGACATCTTGCAGAGCCTGTCTTCCAAGAGACAGACGTTAGACGTTATGGTGGTCACAAAGATTTTGAGTGAGAAGGGCACAAACAGCCTTGGCGATTTTGAAGTGCAATACCTTTATGATCCCGTCTCGGTTAAAGCTGCAGAGACGTACGTATACTGTATAAGGCGGTGTAGTTAATGAAAGGACAATACTACCAATATTTTGCTTCCTTCAAACGTTTGTATAAAATACTGTTATAATATTAGAAATATAACGCCCATATTATGTGATAAATGTTTGTGATTACCAACATGAGATGGTGAAAAAATGTAATTTATTCAAGGGTACATAGAACTTCTGGTTACCTGTCTTATATCTGTTATTCTTCTGTTTATTATTGGTTTTTACTTGCGTTATAAATGAAATTACTGATAGTCAGATATATAATGTCTGTCTTTTTTCTTCACAGATTTAGGCAAGAATTGGCTGAGCTGAGCCAGCAAATTAAAGATAAGAATAAGAGGCGGTATCCCTCCTACCCTTACTTGGATCCCGAGCACATTCCAAACTCTATCAGCATTTAAAAATGGACTTCACTGCATGGAAAATGTATAGTCTTTCATAAGTATGTTTATTAAAAGTGTGTATTTGCCTGAGATCTTCTTGTAAATAGATGAAGTATGCTACAGTATTATTTTGCATGTAAAAGCATACCTGTGCACTGTGAACAATATCACTAGGCATGCCCGTATATTTAAGTCAAAAATCATTTTATATTTATGGGTATATCTATACGCTAAGCCAGTATGATATCATTTATTATTTTGAAACACAATATATGACCTATTCATTTGTCAAAGTTTAAAAACATGATAAATTCATCAGTTTATGATAATGAAAATTGTAATGTATAACTGAATTTGAATGAGCGTTTTACACTTATCCGGCACTTGGCTTATATTTGTCATGTTTTTGGGTTTCCATTTTGAATGTTGTTACCATTTCGAAAATTCATTATTCTCAAAAATATTGCAAGGCTTCCAGTGTGAGCGATTGCGGTAGAGGAGCTATTAAAAGGGATGCGACTCACAGAATGGCTTCAACGGTGCAGATTTAATCCTTCTGAAAACGTGCCTAACTAATGTTTTACTTAATAAAATATACAAATCGAAGTGCGTTCTGTAAATATCGAGCGTAATTTCTAGATGTGGAGAACTAGAATCTTTGATGGTGGTATAAAAAAGTCTCACGGAACAAGTTAAGTTGCTTCTTTATACTTGTTTTCTGCAAGTTACACGAAGACGCATTTTCTACAAACTTATGCCTTTATGCCTCTTTTATGCCATAACACTTTTGTGTGTAAAGTTTTACAGTAATTGCCAGTAAGAATAATAACCACACTTAGTTTTGGTGTTCTCTAAAAGTAACGCACAGGCTAAATCTCGGCGGCCAATGTCTTTTTTTTTTCTTTCTTTTTTCTTTTTTTTAATCCGTATCTTTATACACCACAGGTCTGATAGGCTTGTTTTTTTTTTTTTTTTCTTCTTCTTTTTTTTTTTTTTTTTCAAACCCGAATGCTAATTATCAGAAGTTACTTTAGTTCACGGTCTCAATGCTGGCGATTAAACAAAAAAAGTAAAAGATATATTTTTTAAAAACTGTAGACACTGTGTAAAACATAGCTACGCCGTTTGACTTACCATGATTTTCATCATTATTTAATCATCTGAAATCATTATGTGTAAAATAGTAATTGAAAATTTATATTTGGGTTTTCCATAGTTCATATTTAATTTCACATAATTTCTGAGTTCATCTCTTATTGTGCGTAACAGTTTCTAAGCTTACTATACATAAAGGTAAAACAGAATACAAAACATAACAGAACAAAAAAATGAATTGAAATTGGCACAATAGTTTTTGCAAATTTAATTATCATTTATTGAATACAACTGAGGGAGACGCAGGAAGCAAGAATCGGAATAAACAGAACACATCAAAGGCAACGTCTTTATTGGCGTTTGCGGATAAGCCTCCACCCGTTCACCGGACTAGTGTGTCTGGCTTTTCATAAGATTTGCCAAATGTTTGGCAGTCCATTCAAACCCAGAGTTGGAACATTTGGTGAAAGCCAGTCAAAAGCGTGATGCCCGTGTACGTCCATGCACAGTTTTGCCACTGGTGATGATAAACAGCGATATAAGTCTGCGATAAGGTAATTCTAGTGGTACCCTGTAATCCCTGAAATAAAAGATAATAGCCTACTTTAAAAACTGCTGTAAGAAACATTTAAGACATTAATTGTAGAAAATGCGCGAAAGCTCTTTTTTAACAAATTATAATCATTTCCTGGGAATTTTTCTTTATCATCAAATTTTACCCTACTTTTAACCCTTGAGAAAATTGCTATAAATAATCCCATTTTAGAATTCGAAATTTAAAGACCGTAATTCTGTGAAACTTTTTTGAGGATGGGACACCGTTCTGATAGAGGGAAAACGGTCTGATTTCCAAGAAAATTTGATTTTTGCTGTACAATGTAATTGCATGCCCTTAACAGCGCAAACTAGCGCGAACTAGTGCGAACAACAATTTTGTAAATTAACTAACATATCTCGTCAGTTGATTGGTAAGTCGCCAAATTTTGCTCCATATGTTTTAATGTAATATTCACCATTTCTCATATATTTGATGAGGAAAAGCGTTTAATACTTTAAATCTTAACTTCTCAAAAATTCACGTACAAGATATTCTTCATTCAAAGCAGTTTCGGTTTACACTACTCCGTGGCGTTAAAAACAATAATTGAGGTTGAAAACAACATGCAAAATGAGTAGATCGCTGTCTTAAATATGATTATCTTTTCTGCCGAGTGTCACTGCTTTTTCCATAAATACATACGTCTAAAAAACTATTTTACTTACCTAAGTAAACTGCTATGATAAGGCACTATCCAAAGTAGTAGTAACGCTTCACATCGTCTCCTGAACCTTCAAAAGGCTTGTAATAACGCCGCTTGTACCCATTGCCATTAGAAGACCCTCTACGACGGCGGTAGCCTCTGTAGCCTGCACCGACAGCGGCAATGATAACAATGAAAACCAAAAGGTATTTCAGCAAATTCATCGTGGTCAGTGGTGGTGGACGACACAGATGTCTTTTATGTCTGCCGTAGAATAGGCGCCTACAGTGCCTCTTTATATAGATACGGGCTGGCGTCCCGTCAGCGTTTTTTTTTTTCGTGACAAGATCTGTCTTGACAGAAAAAAAGATAAAATCATGAAGAATTGAAGCATGCAATAACCCCATGTCAGGTCAAGGTGATGTCATCATTTGGAGTTATCTAGCTGTTTCTTCCCATTAAGGAAAATGTTACTGTTACACTGAGCTCCAATCTATTTTTATGATGATGATGTAAACCGATATTGACATAGCCTACTTTTTATGATAAGCGGACATAAGACGGTGGATTTGAAATCATGAAGAAGCTCAAACTTACTTTTGTAATTTGAAGATAGTACTCTGGCATAAGCATTTTATTTGAAAATTATTTGGTTACATTTAATTGAAGCAATCTTTGGTCTAAGCTATTCGACAGAAACCAAGGTGACAAAGACGGCCTTCTCCTGTCACCGAGGGTAACATGGATACCTTACTTTTAAACTCTTAGCAAAACTCTTATCATTTCAATCTGACGCTGTGTCCCTTATCAAACGTTACCATTTGGTATGGTCGGATGAAGAATTACAGAAAACACGTTCGATCAGGATGAGACAAAAATAAATGGCGTGTCGTTAGTGTTATCAATATCTTTATACATGAATCGTATTAGTCGAGCGGCTCCGTTATCAGTCAAAAGTTGAAAGCAAGACTAACAAGAAGCGCGTTTTTACCGTGGTCCATAAGAACATGCCACACTTACATAAGCATCCCTTAATTCATTTCTAATTTTCTAAAATGTTCTAAAATTATTTCATTTCTAATTTTAGGCTTGTTTCCTGGCCACGTATACGAACGGTTTGGAATTAAATAAACATTTTAGCAAAATATAAGTATTTGATCGCCAAGCACTATGCCTTTTCATGTAGTCACGCTAAAATACCCCGGCATTAGAATTTTTTCTAGGATTAAAAATTAAAGTTGTTTTGATTAAATTTTTATCGTTTATTTTCCTATTTCTATTTTTGCGTGATAATTATACATGTATTTAATCCACTATATTGCTCACTGGGATGCCGTTTCTATGTCTCTTGAATAAAAACAAAGAAAGAAAGCATGCTACAATACTCTTGAGATAGAAAAAGGGCCTCTTTTCGATAGAAGCATCGAAACAGAATTTGTTTCATGGCATTATTACCACAAGTGAATATAGTAATCAGAAACATTTTCTCCTAGTTCAATGGCGCCGTACTATATGGTCGTTCCTTTAAGATTGTAAGCGTTTTTTATCTAACATGTACGTGTATCCCTTTGTGCAGCAAAATCTCTAAACTCCAAACACCCTAACAGTTATCATTGTCTTCTCTCAAACGATTGTATTTTGCGAATTAAAAATAATGCAGACATATTCATACAAGATTTAAAAAAGCGAGAAAAAAAATATGTTTTTGAAAAGTTTTTTTTAATCTTAACAACCAAAAAGTTGAAGTTGTAAAAATGATAAAAAATATTCCATATTTCATAACCAATAATACATTACTGACCTGAGAAACTATACTTCAGTAAGTAAATCAAAAAGCACGCAATCTTAAATACGTACAGTGCGCGCTAGCTGTACCCTAGGCAAATACATTGAGAAGAGTAGGACCTTTAGACCCCTTCCTGAGTTCAAAAGTTCGTGGCGGTAGGAGTGAGATTTTACACTCGCTGTGTGACTTGAATATCTGAATATTGACCACTTTTTACATATTGTGACAAACATCACAAAATGTACATATATACTTTAATACTACGACTATATCATGTTGAATCATTCAATAGCCTTAATGAAATACAGTTTTGCTGGCATGTTTGATCTTTCTGCCGTCTTGGATCTATTTGTGCTTAAACCAGTTTCAAGGTGAGCATGTTTTTATTTCTGCAATATTCAGATCTTTTATGACTTATCAAAGATGGCAAATGGAATTGTTAATGAATAAGTAATCCACCAGCGAACTGATAACTATAGCCTATGAATTGCAATATGGACAGGCTTAACAATACTCGTACGTGCTCAACAATATCTAATTTTAGCCGTATTCTCTTCTGGTTCACTTTCGTTTGGGTCACGCTGACCTGCGGCTTGCGAACAAAAACTACATCTTGTTATAAAAATAGTCATACTTACAAAATGCGTGTCTTGAATTATAACCATATAACGAACGGTACGCTAAGAAACAAACAGCCATCGGGAAGACATGTTTCGAATTCAATCTCATGATTTGAATTGCAATAAATGGCAATGAACATAACGAGGCACAATGAAATCACTGTTGTAGAGATGGAGGGGCATGATGGTCATTAACCATGGGGGTAGAGAAGGTATCTCAGGTAACATATCAACACTCGATGCTGCCCTTAGAGAACACTTAGTTCAAATATCATTTCCGAACGACACATATCAGCAGCAACACTAAGCTGGGGGCGTACCCAGCAGCCTAGACGTCTCCTAAGATATGTAAACGATATTTGTGATGTTCTATTTTTTTTTTTTTTTTTTTTTTTTTTTTACGGAAGAATGAATCCATTAGACGAATTAATTACTTAATATTTCAGTCAAAGTCTAGTATGGTTTGCAAAACTCATATAATCTGTCAAGAAAATTTCTTTAAAAATGGTGTACATTCAGTATTCCCTGTCATAATGCAGTCATCAAAGGTGGTGTAAACTACGCCCGGGGTGGATCAAGACTCATAGACATACCGTCTGACAAAATGCGTAAAATGACATAAGGCATACTACGATCAGTGGCATGTTTACTAATATCTAACTATACCTACACATATCTGTTTTCATCTGTATTAGATCATATTATTTATTAAGTATTATTAAGTATTTAACTATTAGGTTATCAATATATCGTTGTTGACACATATTTTAAATGACACAGTACCTATATATATATTGCAAATGACTGAGTGTCCCTTTGTGAGTGAGTGAGTGAGAGAGTGAGTGTGATCTTTATTTAGTTATTTATCAATTTTGTATTTTTTGTTGAGATCTGTACTTTTTTGAGATATGCAATAAAAAAAAAGATCTAACTATACGCCAGGGGGCGGCAACAACAACCTTGGCTGACAAACTTCTGAGGCACCTCTCACGCATAAATCAAAACTACCTATTTTCAGACATAATGCCGTTATTGTTCAATAGGTTAGGGAGCGGGTAAGGCTCTGTTCTCACAACTTTTAGATCGATCTATCACCGCGGGGAGTCTCACTAGATTACTGTCAGATAATCCCCCTTAAGTGTCCGTCCCCGCCTACTACAAGCTTTAAGGGGTAATTAACTTTCGTGTCCGCCCGGCTGACAGCTATTTAGCGTGAACCCCCAGGGAGTTAGGTCGATCCAATGTAGGTCGATCTAATCTATGAGAATGGGGTGGTAGGCCTATTTCTGATGAATATGCACACTATTTAATTGCAAAATTATGCATTTATCATAAGCTGAAGTAGACCAATGTTTTCATCTAACAGCCGGGGCAATCTTTTGCGCGGCAGGTCCAGGGAGAGCGTATTGAACAGGCGTTCTCAGGGTTTCCTCAGCTTTGGTAATACAATGCACGCTTTCAATACTTTTTCAATGGATTTGTTTATTGAAGTTTTAATTTATCATGCTTTTCTCTCCTCCCTGTTCATGTATGGGTGCATTCCCAATATAACTATCGGTCTACATATATATCGATCAAACTCTGCAGGAACCCTCGCTGAATGCAATCAGATTAACAGATTATCAAGCTTTCTGGGGTTGAGTAGAATACACAAAAGCTGGTTATTATGCGAGTATGTTGGAAACAAGAGGAGGCGTGTTGATCCGGTAAACTGATTGCATTTAGTGAGAGTCCCCTCAGAGTTGGATCGATCTACGTAGACAAATAGTTTCATTGAGAATGAACCCTGTGAGGCGGAACAGCTCCTCCCCAGTGATACCGCTTGGTATGCCACAGACACAGTTCAACAGCATTAGTCACGATCAAAGTCAGCTATACAATTAAGGTCATCCCCCAAATCCCGTTTTAAGAATGCAACTGATAATATCGGAAGAAAACAAGCTTTTAAATTGATTTGAATTAAGATGAACTTAATGGTATTAGACATTACATGCTAAAATGACTAATGACAGAAACCATCATAAAAAACTGACAGGTCTGGGCCTCTTTCACAAAAGAACTGTATCTCAAAAATCAGTCTAAACTTTTTGACAAAAAAGTTAATCGACTATACGGCCAGAAAAACCCATAAGAGTCCACTTAGATTAAGTATTGGTCTGAAGCATTATAAAGTATAAAGTGATGTGCGCATTGCATAACTTAAGTAACTTTTAATTTTGACTTGAGGAGGATAAATAGCCTCTGATCATTCCGCCAATTTAAATTCGTATCTCTGTACTTGATGAATTTAGCATGCTGGCTACTTTTAATATTTTGCCACTGGTGAGGAATAAGTGTTTCTCATTCTCATTTTCTACTCGATAATACATGCAATTTCCTTCCTGGAGGCAGGAGTTGATGTGCCTGCCTTTTCCAATCGCCAGTTCATGATCACATATAACGAATTAAGCAATCACATTTTTTGTGAACTTGCGGTATTAATTTTTTTGCATGTGTTTTGATCACAGGTCTTTTAAGCAATTTGCATGCACGCAATTTTGCTTTTTCCATACCGAATTCTTCCCATAACAGGCGTTCAATTCATAAATCAATAAGTGAATTAGTAAGTGAAACTTTCATCTCATTTTTGTCTACATGTCGCCGCTGGAGCAGTAATTCGATTTCACGAGTTTCTTTTGGCCGAATTTTTGTTTAAAATTAAATCCTGTCATCTGCTATATCCCTAAATCTGAAACGTTATTTTTGCACCGATTTAATGTTTGTGAAGATCAGGCGTCCATAATAATAATAACAATAATAATAATTTTTATTATTTTTTATTTATAATAATATTATTTATTTATAAAAGTTGGATGGTACATATTGAATTATGGTAAAATGGTAATTCTAAGAAATAAATATCAGAGGTTAAAACATTTTAAAATACATTTTATAAAAATTTTAAAGACATTTTCATTTTCAAGAAGAGCATTAAAAGTGAATCTTTGGATGTATTTGGTTAAATCATTACTGAAAAGTTGACAATGGCCAGGGTATAAAAGTCCTTACGGTGATATGGTATTGGTAGCTTGGTGTGTTCCTTGGTCTATCCAAATCTCCTTTACAAGCTTTATTACTTCAGGTTTTTCGTCCCCATAGACCCCTTTACACGTCTTTATTATAACGGTAATAGAAATATAGCTTACCGAAGTCTACAGTGGAATCTAAGTTACAATTTGCTGCTAGCGAATCAATTGAATATGCACAGTTACCACTGAGTATAGGTCATTTTCACATTATTCCAAGCCATAGGTTTATAGCCAACTTCATAAATCCCAATGACACAACATAAACATACAAAAACGGATAATAGGAGTTGCAGATGGCAATCTTCTGGTATTTGAAAATTGCAGATATAGATATAATGCTGTACATTTGCAGTATATATATATATATATATATATATATATATATATATATATATATATATATATATATATATATGCTTCGCATTATTCAAATTATTGTTTATCTAGCACAAATACTATGAGGCGAGTTTTTTCTTAGGCGTTAATAGTAATTAACATGAGCATTCTTTAATCCCAATTTTGTTGCACTTGAATAATGTGGCTCTTCACAGTAGGACACAAACTGTCGGTACGTCATGATTGTCCTTTTGCTTCGTTCGCGGATAATCATGGAATATTAACCTAAAATGAGAAAATCAAAACTTCGAACAATGCAAAATTAAATCATTTTTGTACATAAAAACATAAAAACGAACAACTATTAAATGAATTTCGATTCATCATTATCACCGATTCGATTCATTATTATCATTATTTATACAAAATACATAAAATAATCATAACGCTTGACTTTTCATTTTTTAACGAAAATTGTTTTGCGAATGCGTCTTTTTACAAATAATATTCAGGATAGGCAAAAGGCAAGCACATACCATTATAACGCTCCAGAAAAGTGCTTTTCATACAGCAAGTGACTTCATAGCCGATGTTGACCAGGCGGATATCTCTCAAACGCATGGTCTGGTTGGATTCCATGGAATATTCAATGATAGCCTCAAAGAAAGCACGGCACACCTGGTCTAATGGAACCCCGAAAATTCCTACAAAGACGAGATCGACAAGATAATGCTCGGAGTGATTTGTTTACCATATTATCTTCAAATATCTGTTAATTTTTCAAATCGCATACAACTTGTGGCAAAACATCAAAATTAGTAAATCATACAATATTGCTTTGATAAACAGTTCGCTCAATATAAAAATGTGCCGTTAATATTATGAATATTGTGCTATTAATCGACTGTTTTCTTCGGATATTCACAATAAAAATACAGCTGCTTAAAAGCCGATGGAACCGTATCCAAACACAAATGATGAACCGCTGTACTTAACAAATATTTTTTCAAAACCTTGAATCTATTGAATGTGAGACATCTTACCTGAGCTTACAGCAGGAATGGCAACTGACCGCGCTTTCAGAGTTTTATTAGACACCATCAGCACATTAACCACTGCCTGTTTCAAGGCACTGAAACATTTGGTGGCGTCTTTGTAATCAGATTTTCGCGGTCCCACCACATGGACGACAAATGTACACGGCAGTCGACCGCCCTTTGTAGCCACTGCATCAGCAACATTCAGCTGCCTGCGTTGTTTTATGATGTTCTTGCACTCCTCTTCAAGTTTGGGGCCGGCTGCTTTGGCGATGACCTCTGCTATTCCTCCGCCGTGATTAAGGGCCTCATTGGCAGCGTTGACAATGACATCGGTTTGTTCTTTCACTATGTCTCCCTGGTATATCTTTATGGTAATGCCTTGGTGTGTCACAAATACCATGCGACCATAGACACCTTCATGTTTATACTTAAAGTAGGGCGATGTCTTTTTCGGGGACGCATCTGGCGATTCTGGGGTCTTAAACACAGCATGGGCGTTCGCCATGTGCTCCTGGCACATTTTCTTGGCCTCACAGACTTGATCGGATGCACCAACCAGCGTGACAGCTTGGGCTCCCGGAATGGCTATGGCAAGAACGTCCTTCTCTTTCATGGCCTCTTGTATCAACGCGATAAGAACGTTTAGTTCTTCATCTTGCAACTTCAACGGAATCTCTTCCACACAAGCTGACGAGCAGATTTTGTCATAAAGGGCCAAAAATTCACACTTAGCAGAATTGCATTTGTCAATGTCATCGCCTTGAAACCTTAGGTTTACTATACCAGCAAATATGTCCTTGCTCAGGATGCTGACGGCGTACTTGTCTTGCAGATCCTGAAGCCAGCTCCTACGAGCTGTTTTGATGTATTGGTACAGGATACCAACGACTTGTACACAAGGCAAATTGGGATTTTGGATCGGTTTCATGTCATCATGCTGGCGTGGGGTATGCGCGTGTTTTTCAGGTTTGGTTTTTGTTGAGGCCCCTTCGGCTGCGACGGCGTCCTTTACGCCATTCTGTTCCTTTGGTTTCAATAACTGCCCCTTAAAAACCACGGTGTGGTCGTACAAACTTTCAAGCTCGGCAAGGAGAGATTGAACTCTGTAGAAATTACCACGAACTCTGTACATTGAAACTCTGGTTTTCCGGTCCGCGTTCTTTTCAAATTTCACGTCACAGTTGGCCGCTTTCTCAGTGATTGTTTCCAAGTGGCTGCTCATCTTTTTCATCCATTTGTCATTCAAAGTCACAGTACAGTCCTGAGATACCTAGAATAAATCATGAATAATGAAATGAGGCCACCTTCTTTCAGCTTGACCTATTTCCAATGGACCAATACTTAAAAGTTCATACTCGCACTAACAGCAACAATGTCATTGAGAAGCAGAAAGGAAAACACCAATACTCACTTCAATTTCGGGTATCAAGATCAAGGTCTGTCCATTTATCACTTGCTCTTTATTCTTCAGTGCTTGACCGGCCGCTGTTAACAAGAAAAAAATGAAAAGCTTATTATGCACATTGCAGCGTCATTTTCCTGTTCCAGATTTAGCCTCATTTTTATCATTTTGATTTTTTCATTGTTGTTATCTCGCATTGATAAAGTTCTGTAGATTTAATTGCAAGTCTACGCTAAATCCAAATGCAAGGCATGAAAGGAGTATTGATTCTGAAAAAATTGTTATTTTAAATTTTGGCAGTCTCTCTGGACAAAAACCTCAATAAAGGCTCTACTGATAGTCAGAGAATGAAACCCTGCAATTCCCTACGAAACGAGAATGAGCCAAATGTGACATATAACGAAAGCGAAAGTGGCGCACAAATGAAATTGTTGTTAGGGTTACACGTAAAAGATATGTTCAGGTCGAAGAAAACCTAGATTTTATCCATATAAAGTTGCAAGCAAACTAATTTTTTATATTTTAATTTAAAATATATTTTTTAAAAAAAATAGCGTTACCTGTGGCATCTTTAAATGTTATTTTTGCTTTGTTGTTCTGCCGCCTGTATGGAAAGGCTATTCCCTTTACCTCCCCTTGTTCTTCAAAGTGTCGGGCAAGGTCGTCTTTTGTGATGCCAGGAGGTATGTTATATACGCAAATTGTGTTCGTCTCATTGGAATCCTATTTAAAAAAAGGAAAAACATAATGCTACACAGGTTTAGTTAGACTCGGTTAACCAGCCTTCGTTCTTATACAGTTACCTATAAAGAATAATAATAATAACTGCATTGTGGGGAAATGTTTGCTTCCAAATGAATTAAAGTGAGGGGAAATGAATGCAAAGTGTGGCTACCGAATCGAAATCCTTTAAGTACTTCACGTTTTTCCTTATCGTTATGGTTCCAAGGTATTTCTCTCTCTCTCTCTCTCTCTCT